CACACTCTCTCACACACTCACTCTCCTCTCACACACTCACTCTCTCCTCACACATGCACTCTCCCCTCACACACTCACTCTCCCCTCACACACTCACTCTCCCCTCACACACTCACTCTCCCCTCACACACTCTCTCACACACTCACTCTCCCCTCACACACTCACACTTCTCTCACATACTCACAGCCACCTGGCCCTTCCAATGCTTAGCTCTCTCAGTCACAGTTCTAACTTGGTCTCATGACTACTTAGAACTTTCCCGAGTATCTCAACATTCTGATTATCACCAAGCACCTTGTCCTCTGCATTTCTCATATGCAAACCCACACATGGAAAGATCAGATCCAGTCAGACAGGAAACCATGGAGGTTGTTTTTTCCATTCCCTGACACCCACCTGAATTTAAATGTCATCAGAAAAATTGGGCCATCAAAAGGATGATAAGACTTGGAATACATAAAGAGCTAGATATAGGTACAATTAAAATCACTTAATCTGAGGGTTGGGTCCCTGACCAGGTCTTCTTGTACTGGATCTTCCTTTGTAGCCTTCCCTTAAGGGTCTTAATCATTATTGAGCCCTTCCTGTGTATAACATGATTTTGTGATCATCATGGGGAATTATTTCAATTAATCTTCACAGAGACAACCATTTGCTAATATGAAGACACTTTTCTGAGAAGAAAACCGACTCTTGAAGAATCTGTATAATGACTCAAGGCTACAAGGTTAGGAAACATGAGCACTTGAATCCACACCCTCACTTTTAAGCTAACATTGTACTCCTTGTCCAAAGTCTTCTAGCCCTAAATCTTCTTTAGCTACATTAACTACTCAGCATCCCCTGTATATACCTGCTTTCCTCACTTACTGCCTTGCCTTTCTATGTCCCTTTTGAAAGTCCTTTACAACTTTCTTCCCCATATCCATTAATGAGAAATACTGAAGTCAAAGCTACAGATGAAGTTGAGCACCCCTATCACAGAACCAAAAATTTCTTTTTTATTATGTTTCATAAGTGCCGACAGAGATACAACCTATTTATGTTTATGTTGACTATACTTACTATATGTTACATGCTGGGCTTTACGGATGGAGCTGAAATCATTTTAGTAACAAAAGTTCATAATTACGTAAATTTGTGAAGGACATTTTTGGACAGGCCTATTCAGACTTTCAAATTCACATCACATTAACCCAAAAGACATGAGCTTCAATTCAAGTACTTCTAGCACATCCTTCTCTGTGGCTTCATTTTCCTGTTGAAGTCTGGAACCTAAACAAGGAAGGAAGTTCCACCTTCCATGGATGACACAGGATAGAGAAAAAGCTCCCCAGCTTTCCTGTCTGGTTGGTGGGTTTGACCTTCCAACTCCTCCTTGGTAGACGCCGTGTTCAGGAATCATAGTTAACATACTTACTTGAGGTGTTTTTGAACAAAGTCTTTTCCTGACATGCTGTACATATTGACTTTGAATGACTATGAATTTTCAATTTGGATTTAGGAAGCTGAACACATGACTGGAATTCATGTCTCTTCTCCATCTTTAATATAGAGCAGCAGGACTGAGTCCAAATATGAAAGGAATAAAATATAAGAGCTTTCCTGGTTAATGAGGAAGTATCCCAGAGAGATGGGACTAACAGACTCTAAGCAAGGAGGCTTCACAGTGCACTGTTGTCTAGCTATTTTTTTCCTATTGTGACTTTTGTGACCTTACTGCTCTAGAAGTGTGTATTGCCTGGAACCCAGAGAGGATGAAATCATATTTGCAAGTTCAGGATAATGGATAGAATCTGCTTACATTTCTGGATCTTTAGTGTAATATATAGCACATGTAGGATGCTTTCTCCTAGCTGCCATTATGAAGAACTGAATGTTTCCTTAAATTGGTTGAGAAAAGCTCCCATGCTCCACCAAGGAAAAATAATAGAACCATTAATAAGTCAAATCAAATTATGTTCTTATCTCTCTTATTTGCACCTTGCTATTCAACCAACCCCATATGATTGCCTCTGTTCTCAGTTTTATAATGAAGCTAGTGACTTGGTACCTGAGCAAAGAGACAATCAGGGTTAGAGAGAGAGTTCATCCAATAAAGCTCTTGCCTCAAAAGCATTAGGTTCTCAGTTTAGTCCCCAGAATCTGTTTAAAAACCTGGAGATGTTGTCACATGCTTGGAGTCCCACTGATGGTGAGATGGAGACAGGCAGGTGAACTCCTGTATCTATTGGCCAGTTAGTCTAGCCTACTTGGAGAAGTTTAGGCCAATGAAATCCCTGCCTGAAACAAAAAGCTGAAAGATGCATATGTGCACATCCACTGAGACACACACACACACACACACACACACACACACACACACAATCTAGGACAGAAAATTCACGTTTACTATTTACAGAAAACAGAGGTTGTGTTTATGAAATGATATCATTGGATATTTCTGGATTGATGGCACCAACATGTAAAAGTCTGGCATGGTGGCACACATCTTTTATTCCAGCACTCAGAAGGCAGAGGTTGGGGGATATCTGTGAGTTTGAGGCCACCCTGGTTTACATAGAGAATCCAGGCCATCCAGGGCTACCTGGTAAGACTGCATTTCAAAAATAACAACAAAAATATTTTGGTTTGTTATTGCATGGTCTGAGATCAAATAGATCATAGATTTGTGAACAAAAGATAGGTAAACAGCGTATCAGTGTTATTTCTTAGGATTCAAATGCCACGAGATTTCAAAATAGTGGAGTATATTTAAAACATCCATTTCACCATCAGAAGGTTGAAGTTAAGTGATACTATTGGCTAACACGAAATTCTCAAATACTGCTCAAATTTTGTGTGTGTATATTAGCTTACTTAATTCTATTGACACACTATTATCCTTGTTTTGTGGAGAAATTAAGACAGAGAACTACTTAGAACCTTGTATGTGGTCATACCACTTTTAAGTAGAAGAGCCAGGATTTGAATGTAGGTAGATTAGTACATTACTCTGAACTAGATTATCTTGAGTTGTTGTAACTCAAGTAAGTAATTAACCATGCTTTTGACTTTAGAAGCAGTCTTACTATAAGTGACTACAGTTCCTGTGTTGGGTACATTTATCTTCCCCAAACTCTTTGAATCCTTCTCATGATGCCTGAAAGGCAATGAAGTTTCTATCTGCAGGTTCAGTGAAGTCAAATGGAGGAAGACACAGTAGATATACCAGAGTATACAATACCAACATAATGCAGAATGAGTGGAGCTGAGATCCATTTCATCATCAGAAGGCTGATGAACCAACCCAAGTGTTTATAGTGATTGCTTATTCTGAAACCGGAAGTGAAACCACCAGACATTCTCATGTGAGTTGATGCTAGATTTCAGAGTTTTTAAAAGGTGTGTTATCTGAGTGTTCCTTTCCATCATCCAGATCAATCCATTGAGCCCATAATTGTTCGTTTGTTTGTTTGGGGATGAATAGATGGGTGACAGGGTAGTTGACAGAAGGGGAAAATAAGAAGGGTTCTTACTTGCTCTACAACATTGAAGTGAAGACATAACGACAATCTTTAAATGACTTGCTCTTCCTTAAGTCTTGCCTCCCTCCTGTGATTGGTAGATTGTCATGGAAGAGGAGCTGTCAAAAGGAAATGCCTTCAAGATAACTTTATTTGTGTTTCTTGAGAACAGTTGTCACAAAATATGGAATTATTTAATCTCCACATTATTTTTGTGGGCTCCAGAAATATTAGAGGAATTAAAGGAATAGCAACATACAGACTTTATAATGAAATGACTTAATTATTGACTGAGATCTACCTAATAATAACTCAATCTATGGGTACATAGGCCACAAAACAGTAGCATGGTTCTAAAGAGAGGAGCCCAGCAAGATTACTACCATATATGTAGATATCAAAGAGCCAATATCTCCAGTTGATTGCAAAAGTTTTATATAATTTATAAACTTGTATTCACGCTGTATCTTCTAAACATTGGTTTTCTTTGAGTTCATATACACTGGTATATTAATTGGAAAAAGTCAGTTGACTTTAATCATAGCCTTAAATATTTAAAATAGGGAAAATATTGTTATGTGTTAGCAAGAACCAAGTAAATAAAGTACACACTAACATGTGCTCTTTGTGTGGTAGATATGAGTAACTGGCATGGATGGAGAACCATGAACTGATGGTGACCAAGTTTAAGATTCCTCTTGGAGGTTAAAAGTCAGTTCTCTGGGGTGATGGAGTAAGGAGATAAAATGGCATGATCAGTCATTACTAGGATGAGCTGTTTGGGCAGAAGGTGTCTTAGTTGCTATTCTATTGATGTGGGGTGACCAAGGCATCTTTTAAAAGAACTCATTTAACTGGGGCTTGTTTACACTTTTAGAAGGTCAGTCCATGACCATCATGGAATAGGTAGGGCTAATTCTTACAATTCAAAGACTTAAGAGGAGCAAGATTCTTTTAAGGAGCAAACTCGCATTGGATGAAAACACATGCTATAGTTTAGATCTTAAATGTCACCCAAAGCTCCAAGTGTTGGCAGCTTAGTCTCTAACCCATGATGCTATTGGAAAGTAGAAAGACTTTTAAAAAGTGTGGCCTAGTTGGAGGAAGTCAAGTCAGAATGGGTGTATGTTGGAAAGAACTGAGAAACCACATCCCTTCCTTTCCCCCTTCTTCCTTCCTGGTTACCATTACATGTAGATTCCTCGGCATGGTCTTTTGTCATGGTATGCTGCCTTGCTACAGGTCTCCAAAAGCAATGAAGCCAACCATGAGAGCTCCAGGACCATGAGCCAAAATCACTCTTTCCCTTTTCAAAGAAGAGTTCTCAGGAAATTAGTTACAGCAACAGAAACAGAACTACAGTAGTGAGGAGGAGCACACTCAGCTTCAGGTTAAGCATGAAGAAGTGCTGTCCTGTCTGACAGACCCATAGGTCTGTTTTGCTTTTGAAATAAAGAAATCAGGCAAGTCCAAGGGACTGGCTTAGGTAGTGGAGTTAGGGGTTGACCTTTGTTATAATGATTCAGGTCATCTGATGCAGCCCAATCTCTAATTTTCTTCACTTATTCTTAAAAAAGACTCTATATATATGACAGGGAAGCTGTACCCATAACCTCTCAACAATATGGCTACCTAAACAAGAGCTAAACAGTTACAATGACAGGTAACCAGAAATATAGATGGGATAAATCTTATGGAGCCCCACTCCTAGATAAAGACTTGTAGACAATTAACAACTCCTTAAAGAGGGATAATTAGTTTTCCCAGGTGATGAGCCCTCAATTTGTTTTCCAGTGCCAAGTGGCAAGCCTTAAGCCATATAAATATGAGCAACACAGATGGATTCAGCAGGTTTCACATATGCATATAGTTGTAATGATAGTGATTAAGGAAAAAGAGGCTGTGGATTTGAGAGAGCATCAAGGAAGGTGTAAGTAGGAGGGATGGTTGGAGAAAGGGGAGGGAGGAAGAGGGAATGACGTAATCCATATATGAAATTTAAAAGCTCACTACAGACAAGATCCATAGCATTCACAGGACCTAGATTGCATGGAGGAGAAATGCAGAGCTTTGCATTTATCTTAAGAAACGACTTGAGGAATGGGAAGTGTGGAGAGGACAAGCTCCAATGCTTAACACAAAACTAAAAGAAAATAAACGAAAAATACCACTGCGTTAGGAATGTTAAAATGAGTCCATGTGACTTTTGGCACAAAATGTTTTTATCTGAGAATGAAGATGTTGGAATAAAACTGGTTCTGTGGTTCTTTCTGGATTGAACTTTATAGCTTGTAGCTTAGAGGTTGGTTTTTTTTTTTTTTTTTTTTTTTTTAAGACCAATTCAATACAAAGAATTCTGTGAAATGTGATACCCAAAATTGAATTTGCTAAGGGAAGTGCAGTCACCTCGCTTGGCTGGACAGTCAAGCTACAGTTGTCAGAGGTGAGGGATGCTGAACAATTAACACATCATTCGGAGGGCAGCTGAGGTGACAGTTCTGGAAGCAATGGTCAAAACAAGCAGGGGGGTGAGCTGTGGTCTGTTACCCCAGCAGGCGAGCAGGCTCACAATAATGTTCTGGTATTGTTTCTCAGAGTTTGGAAGGAAATTTATAGCAATGTTTTTCCAAAAGCCTATATGACAATAAGGAAAATGACTTTCTAGTCAGCCTTAAGAGGCTGAGGCAGGGCCAGCCTGGACTATATAATGAGTTCCAGGACAGTCTGGGCTACAAACAGAACTCGTGTCTCAGTGGGGAAAAGGAACTTTATAATGAGTACAATTTCCAGTAATAAACTGGTTTGTGAGAGGAGACTTCTCAAAGAAATATTGGAAGACCATCATTGTGTGGATGGTCCCTGGGACTCAGAGTTGCTTCCATCTAATGCTTTTCCTAAGGATCAATGTTAGTTTTGAAGTTACTGCTGTCAGATATTACTAATTTTTATGACAAGTTTTAATTCACCAGGAATACACTCTTGTAATTACCCAATGCAGACCATTGTGTTCAAGTCTGAGCAAAGTATAACAGCACACAACATGTTCTGGAGGGCTTCACCAACTCCTCCTGCACCTGGCCTCCTAGTTTTCCACACAATTCCCTCTGTACACTCCCTTCCCATCTCATTCTCTCTTGGCATTTGCTTCTGTGAGAATCGGAACCAATACAGCAATTAACACACAGGACCCCACTCTTTCCTCGATAGCTCTAAAATGGTCTGTGTTCTTTCTGTGGACAATTTCTTACTGTGTATAGGTATATAATTGAACCAAACTGGACGTTTGCCATTTTTCCCTTTGTAATGACAGAGTGGAAATACTTCAGTGTCTATAAAATGATCTACTGTTTTAGGTAGAGAGTAACAGTTTCGAATTGAAGTTTTAAGACTACATAAAGTGAAATCCCTGCTATCATTTAGTAAGTCTGTATTCGTGTGTGCATGATCACTATTATGTGTAGATGGGGCTTCGTGAAAAAATAGAGGGAGGAGCTGCATGTACAAAGTCCAACACAAACACCTGACCAAGCAAGTCTGTGTGCTCTCTGGTTTTGATCTTAGCCCCTCTCCTGTGGCCTCTGCTAGCTTTTCTAGCCACTGCATCCTCAGTTACCTCAAGCTAAGCATTTCCTGCCAGGTAGCTGACGAGACAGGAAACACCATGTGCTTCCTGGCTTGGGTGGTGGCACATGACCAGGGGGCAGCCAGTAAAAGCAAACACCTACTGCTGCATGGGATTTGCTGACCTCATCAATGAAAATTTGCTTTTCAGCAGGATGACACAGTCACGTGTCAAATTTCTGTCTCCACTCAATTAGTGACTACAGGGAATACACTGTAGCATCTTTTCTGGCATCCAATTTAATAAGTCAGGAAGAACAAATACAGTCTTATCCAGGGAAGAGAAAGGTACACTTTGCTTAGCAGCAAAGGGGAATGGGATGTGCAAACATTTTATTGTCCTAAAGTCACATGAGGCCGTCAGGAGTCTCTTCCCTGAGGAAGACTCTTGAAAGTTGTGGAAAATCACAAAGCTGTGTTTTTGATGGAGAGGAGAATGTAGTCATGTTAGTCAACGGGAGGCCTTATAGATTCAGCTTTGAGGCAAAGAGAACTATTTATGAATGGGAGCCATGAACTAGTATCTAGTATTAGATAGATACTAGGCTCCTAAATAATACACAAAATTATAGATTTTATAAGGCAGACCATGGCTATAAGAAAAGACTTTTTAAAATTATTTTGATGCAGATTTCTTTTAAGGAACAGAAGAGAGCCTTGGTTTCTGTAGCCTCCTTGGGGCAGCTATTTACTTCCTCTGCTGCTGGTACTCCCTGGTGAGGATGAGGCAGTGTGAAGATCTTAAAGCAGGAAGTATTGTTTCCAAGTGACAGACCATACAATGTAGATATTGAAGATGAGGGATTTGGATGAAATGTGGATCGGAATAACCATGTCCTCTGCTAGTGAACTCATGTAGGTGAAGTTAGTCAATCATGTCAAGTTCCAGTTTCTTCCAGTGCTAAATTGGGGTAAATGTTAGCGCCTATCATGAAGGGTTTTTGTCAGAACTAAATGGGTGTGGCCTGCGCGTACTGTTAGGAATATTCTATGGTGGCTCATGTTCAAAGAGACTGATTAGACAGCTTACTGAGAAATCCCAGTACAGCACTGTGATTATCACTAAATTGTTCACAAATGGGCTGATTATGACTATTTAAAATTCTTCATTTAATTAGCAACTTATGATGGCTTAATCCCAATTCATGATTGGTGTAATTGGCTTTTAGCACAGAACACAGTTTATAGTTTTGGCAGGGGAATCAAAAAGACAAAACTATTCCCCACATTCTGAATTAGAAACAAGATCTGCTGCAAATATTTAATGATTGAGAAAATAGTTAAGTATTTCTACATAACAGAGAATCAATGATTAGAAAGTAAATAGATCATTCTATTTTGTCAACAAATATTAATTTTAATAGTGATAAGTGGTATAAAAGATAAAAAAGATGTGTATGTGTGTGGGGTGAGTGTTCTGCAATTTAGATTGTGAGATAAACCTAACATCTAAATTCAAAAATTATTAGAAAATGAAAACTCCTAGAAGTACAACCAATTTAAAAATAGCCAGGTTGTGTATAACAGTATTTGAATTTACGGTTAAAAAAAAAAAAGTTGTCTCTGTTCAATTTTAGAGTTCACAGACTTTTTCTGGTGCTTTATTTTTTTTAATATATGAAAATGAAATTAGAAGGGTTAAAAAAAAACCAAAACAATGCTATTCTCTATAACTGAAGGTTAACCCTTAAGCAAGGATGCCCTGGCACCCATTCTCTGGCTAATGTTTCATTGACTCTACAAGGCTGGTATATTTAGGATAGTAATTAAATGATTGCCCTGAACTCACAAGAGATAATTTTGATGGACACTAACAGAAAACGTCAAGAACATATTTGATGTAAGCCTTTGCCCTTGTGTGGCTAACTTGCAAACACCATCCCACTGAATAGTTGAAACTGGTTTACTACTGAAGACTTTTTCTATAAAGAATTTCCATATGTTCGAATTTTCAGGCTCATTCACTGTTCAGAGGAATTTATTAAATGTGTATCCTGTACTGTGTGCTGGCGACACTGCTGTTATTGCTGCTACCCATAATAAATAAGTTAATAAGCCAGAAATCTGATGTGGTTAAACTTACTCAAGAACACATTCAGAATATACTCCATTCTGACACACAGTTTTCGATACACGAGTAAGTGAATGGGAGTTTTATTTATATTAAACTTGGAATTTTGTGTCCATGCTAACCTGGAGTTCTATAGGTCAAAGTATTTCTGGAGGCTGGGGAGATAGCTCAGTGGTTAAGATCGTTTGCTGTGCAAACAGGAAGATCTGAGTTCAGATCCCAGTATCTATAAGAGAGAACGAAGTTGGGAGAAATAGGGTTTCCTGGTTACCAGGCTGCCTCAAGGTTCAGTGAGAGGTCCTGCCTCTAAGAAATACAGCCGAGGGTGATAGGGCAGGACACTTGACCACCTCTTTGGTCTTCTTGTGCAAGCACAGGTGTCTGTACCAACACACACACATACACACACACACACACACACACACACACACACACACACACACACACACCT